AGATCAACACCTGGCTATCGCTTGCAGGATTTCCCCGGAGAAGATCCACGTTCAAGTTCCCCAATTAGTTTCATCTCTGTTTGTGATCATGGCACCCGATGCAACCATAAACCTATTAATTTGTGGTCTTTGATATTTGAAACATGATATTTTACAGAGGCGCTTATAGTTCAAACTCTGGCTATGTCAGGACAACTCTGTGTCTTTTAGTATTCTTCATTGACCATTCAAAATGTGAATCCTCCCGGATTTGCTACATAGCTTATACGGCTGAGTGAATTCGGCACCATGGTGTATGTGTTGGAGCCTTCACACGTTTAGTTTTGATGCTTCCAATAAGACTATAGCAACTTTAGTTCAATGAAAATGCAGTTTGTCAGAATTGAAATGTGTTATGAGATCTTAGGAAGTCCCCGGTACAACGAACAATGAAAGCCGGAGATCCAAGTACAATTTTTTTTACTACATACGTCAAATATTACGTCGGATGTAGGAATATCGGGTTTGTTCATATATTCAAGTATGAGGGTCAGCCGAATATTCGAATTTCGATTCATTTTCGAATTGTTTGAAATTTTGATCGAATTATTCAAAAACTGTGGATTTCGAATGTTTGGATTTGCGAATTCGAATTCGAATGTTTGATTCGAGTGATCAAGTAATTATTCGTTCCGGTTTAACGTATAGTGCACTACGGTATTGCACGTGATTGCGCTTTGTAACGCAACGTTTTCAACGCAAGCAGTTCTTGTGAAATCCGCTTGGTCATGGACGTGTTAGTCGCTTTTGGTGCCATTACTGATCGTAATCGAAAGCTACCTATCAAGTATTTTTAATGTCCTTTGTTCGATGATTATGATTGGTTGCATATTCCTTCAATGAAACAATTTCAGGACAGATGCAGGTTGCATCTATAAACGATGTGAAGATATACAACTTGAGTGCTGGGAAAAACATTCCAGAAGTACGCATTTATATCATGAGCTCACTTCCTAGATTCTCAGTTTTCTAAATTTTCAGTGGATGAACGCTGAAGCAAGGCGGAGGGCAGAACGGAAAAGTATCGGTGTGACACGATTACGGTTATTTATAACATTGTAGCATCATCTCAGCAAAATCTATTTAGATGTGCGAAGACGTGTGCAGCTCATTCAAGATTTTGATATGCCAGATGTTAGCCATACTGTTAATATTTCACGTGATGGCAGATATGTTTTCGCCACAGGTTAGTTTTGCCGGCAGTGTCATAATCTTCCTTCATACTTTTGGCATTTTTGCATACTATAAATGAGTACTACAAGCCTTCAAAGAGTTTTGGAGCTTTGATGCAGATAAATTTGTGATAAGAGAAGGAAGCACTTTTGCGGTAACTTCCGATTTAGTTTTGAAACAATGCTATAGAATGCTCGTAGTGAGTTAGTATGTTTAGGATCTTATAAGTCTTGGCTGAAATGTTATGATCTGGAAAATCTCTCGCAGAAGTTTGAACGAGGTCTGGACGCGGGTGTGATCAAATTGATATCTCTAAGTGATGATTACTCAAAGGTGTGTTATCGCAGGAGATTTGTTGCTCTTTTTAAAGTCTTTGTT